TTAAAGGGTTTCTAACTTAGTGCTGCACTTTTTTAAATATTAATTATTTTATTAGTTATTTTTTATAATTAAATAAAAATAAAAATAAAAATATGATTATTTTTATGACTTTAATAAATTTAACAAATTTAATGGTAATTATTATCGTATCTACCTTATCTTATGATATCATAGCATATTTATTTGATGATCAATTTTTAAAGGGTTTCTAACTTAGTGCTGCACTTTTTTATATTTAATTCTTCTTATCTTTATAACTAATCTTATAAAAATGTTTTTAATTGAATATTTGATAAAATTAAAGTTAATTTTTAATTTTATAATATAAATTAATTATAAAAATATGTAATTAAAACATTTTAGAGCACGGAGAGATAAAATCGTTAGATGACCCTAAATTTAAAGTGCGATTATTAGGTTTTGTATGGGAAATCCCTTTGTTAAAGAAAGAAAGCAAATGGGGGCGTACCATCATACTAGTAAAAACAACCATCCTTCTAAATAATCATGTATGTACCTAACAAAATTTCATTAGTCTACACAAGGGAAATACGTACTAGATGGTTGCTAACAAAATAATAATAATAATAATAAAACCCTTCCCGTATCTTCCATTGATGAATTGAAATATCCAAGATAACTACAATACAAAATTCAATTAAAGGAAAGATTAATTGAATCAAATACTAAAACATTGATAAAAATCCCTTTCTCAGATATGAATCGATGAGTTATGATGATGATTGATCGGATACCAAAATCTGCAAGCGTTCCATGGTTGGGGAACCACGACAATACGGGCAGTGTTGATTCAATTTGAGCCAGGTTCCGATGCATTCTCTGTGGTACATGTGTTGGCAAGGCTGAATAACCGCACAGTTATCCCCGTCCTTGAAGTCGTCTAAGCAGATAGCACAGGTACTGCTGCAGGGACCTGATCTGTTTTGCATGTTCTCGTGATCGTAAATAACAAATTCAACCATAATGATAATAACCTGCTGCCTGCTGCAAGCCGCCTGCTGTGGGGGCTCTCTCGTCAGGGTTTGCGGCAGATAAGTAGTAGTCCGTGGCAAACCTCGCTCAATATCATTCTGCTGCTGTTGACGTTGGGGTTGGTCTTCGCTGTTGGCTTCTCTTTCTTTTCTACAGCAACAACCCCCAATCAAGAGAAACCAAAAAAATGCAACTAGTGTAATCATTGTGATTACATCTAATATGTCATAATCAATACTTTTGTCGTTGGTAATCGTATCCATGGTTTTCCTTTCCAAGCGATTGAGAAACGGCAAAGAAAGGGTTTTGGATTTAATTCAAAGATGTGGTTAATTGAAGCTTGTAACAAATTGGGTTGCTATTTATAATATGGCTGGGTCACTCCCACCAATTCGACTAGGATTTAGATTTGTTCAATGATCATATATATATATATATATACTTCCAGTAGGATTAGCACTAGTCTTTTTCTTTTTTCTTCAATAATTTCTGACTGCACATGAACTTTATAGAATGACAAAAAGTATATCCTCTATTCAAAACAGTTGTTAATGGGTTAACGAAGACGATCGGAGGAAGTAGACGGGGAACCATGAATGATCAGTTTTTTTGCTAAAAAAAAATTTATTTATTTTTTAATCATCCAGAGATTTCATTTGACATTAAGTTTAACAAAAAAAAAGAAAAGTGTAATAAAATAAAATAAAATAAAATACTCCATTCATAAAATCCCATTCCAGGATATGTCATTGTAGATTCAAGGCCGAATCCAAGTTATTAATTTTTATGATTTTCATAATCATAAGTCCCAGATAGTATCTTCTCCATCAGTGTCTTGCTGGAAGATTAGCTTGAGCATACCTTAAGGCATTTCTGGAATCCATCTGTATCTGCAATTTTCACAAAACCCCCCCCAAAAAAAAGGTCATTCTGCAATTAAAAGAAAATACAAAATAAACAGATAGTGAAGTAATGAGGAGATTATCAAAAGGATACCATTTTCAAATTTTGTGCAATTCTTAAAGAAACAGCGCAGCTTGAGCTTTGGAGCTTCATGTTGACAGTCGATCGCACAGTCACTAGCACACTTCGCGGTGGGAGGATGTGTGGGGCAATTTTTCTCGCAATTCCTTATGCATGCAACTTCCCCGGCACCTCCAAACACTGTTGCAGACATCATCAGCACCACAAGCACCAAGAGAACGCCTTTCACTGCCATTCCTACTAGTGTTTATTGAGCTAAAGATTAAATTTTGTGAAATTGCCTTGCTGATGAAAGCATATATATAAAAGGCCAAGAATGTACAGCTAGCCAACTAGAATAAAGATGGAAATAAGAATATCAATTTTGTATTTTTTTTATTTAAAGATATTAAATTTGTCAATTTTTAAATAATGATATTAATTTTCAATTTATTCTATTTAAAAATGTGAACTTTTAACTTTTTCTATTTATATATATCAACTTTCAATATTAGTTAAAACACATGTTTGCCATATCA